CCCCACCCCAGCCCCCCTCCCAGCCCCTCTCCAGCCCAGGGACCCCCCGGAGCAGAGCGGGAAGGGGACACTCGTCACCCATCCCACCCCCTTTCTCCCCTTTTCTAAACATCCTTTAAAAAAAAAAACAACACAAAACTGTTCTTTTTCCTTTTTTTTTTTTTAATGTTGGTTTGTTTGTGGGTTGGTTTGGTTTTGTTGTTTTGGTTTTTTTTTTGTGTGTGTGTTTTGTTTTGTTTTGCTGGAGTTGCAGTTAAAAGTTGCAAAGTGATCCGTGCATAGGCAATCTCTGCCCATAGGTGATGGTGATTATCTGCCACCCTTTTGCTCCCAGTTTATTGTAATCAGAATTTGTCAGCACTCTCAATTTGGTAGTGGAAGCTTCCATTTTGTGAGGAAGGGGTGTTGGTTTCTTCTAACATGGAGAAAAGTCCGCAGAGTTTGAAGGTGGGGGATGGGGCCCCATTCATGCTGAACATTACCATTTTGATTGCTTTGATGCCATTTTTGGAGGGGGGAGGGGACAGAATACCCTACTCAGCAGAGCACAAAGATGTTTAATCACTGTATAGAATCAAATCAGATACTTTCTTTTTTAAAGCAAATCTGACACTACATGATAGCTAAGGGCTGTTAGTCCTTTTTTGCAGTGTAAAACAGCAAGTTGTTGACTCTAATACTACAACACTGAGTAGAAGGTTGTTTTTTTTTTAAAACAAGGTAACAGCCTTTACTGCAACAATGCATCTTTATGTGTTCTTTCTTCAATATGGAAATAGTTTTACAGTTCTAAGTGGGCATTTAGAACATACATTTGATCATTTTCCCCTGTATTGTAGCAACTATATCAAGGCTGTTTAAATTTTTATGATGATAGTAAATGAGAAGCTATTTATTATGTGTCATGTTGGAATTTAGATAAGGCAGAGAGACACGTCTGAAAATAACAGTTTGAGTGTTCTTATTCAACTCGGTGAAAAAGGTTTTTGTTAAGCTTGCACAGCATATTTATGTATAATCCAAACTAGGTGGTAAACAACCATCGTATATTTACAACTTGCCCTTCTTATAATCTTATCAATAAATCCAGAAACTATCAAGTAATTAAACATAAATACTGAAATTTTGTAAACAGCAAATTTGGGCTAGCAGGAAACCTACTATTTTTAGGGAAAAACATAGATTTATTTTGCTGATTTTAATGTCCTGTGCAACAAGAGCTTATAAATAAGAGACTCACTGGTGATGTGGTATCTTCTTGCTCCAGACTGCCACCTCTGGAGGTCTAAAGTGAAATCTTTCTTGGGTCACAACTGAAATGAGTTTAGAGGTCTTAGCCTTTGACCAGGTCACAAAGCCGTTGTGTAACTTTGCAGACTTGCTACAGTTAGTAGTTGCTCCTTACCCAATGGCTTTTAAATGAACTATTGGGCCTTGATGAAGAAGGTGCAGTGAAGGCTACTGAGAGAACAGATAGGCTAATGTTGAAGCTGTTTGATGGTTTCAGGCTGTCACTTTTGTGGCTACACTAAAACGCTGATGTAAACTTAAGAAGACAGTGTTAAGTAGGGAGTTTATTTTTACATCTGTATTTACATTTCTTCCCTCCTTGCCTCCCTCCCCTCCCCCCCCCCGCTTTGTTTAGGCACAACTAATTCATAATTCAATAATGTATACCTTTGATTGTGCATGCTCTGAATACAAAAGATGCTAAAATTACATTTCAATTAAACTGCACATGTGGATGATGAAACAGATAGTAAAATGAATGGATGATCACATCATCCACATCTGTTAGAAATATAGCAGGAGTGAGTGTTATCTTTCAGTATCCCTATTAATCAGATTTCCAGTGTATTCATTGGCATTTGTGGCCTTTTCTTGAAAGTTACAAATAAAGACAGAAGGAACTGAATTACAAACTTAACTTTTGGTACATGAGGTAAATGTTTAAAGTAGGCTTTTATAAGCAGTTGGATTTTAAGTTCCAACCTAATTAAGGATCCCTGGCCAGTCATTCATTTACCTTTTATGTTGATGATTTAGAGAAATATGGAATTAAATGTAGTTTTAATATTTTCTCAGTATTTTCAAGTAAGTACTGTAGAAGTATAATTTTCATTGTTGAAATAGTGCAGCTTCAATTTGGCATCCAACTCAGAAAGACAAAAGTTAGACTTTTGTTAGAAGTGTATCTTTCGTGTACCACGGTTTTGATGAATTCTAATAACATTTGAGAGCGGGTTACCTCTTCTTTAACAAGATATGATGTGTGAAGACTCCATTAGTTGGTCCAGTGGTTTTACACCTTCAATCTTCAGCACATGCAGAGCAGCGGTAACATTTTTATCTAAATTGTCAAGCAACAAGCATTTATATGTAAATAAAAGAGCTATCATAAGAGCCAGCATTGCCCTTAAAAGCACACCAGAGGTGCTCTGCTGCATGTGTTTCGTGCTTTCTTTATGTCCTTAAAGAGTCATTAAGGGTATTTTAATTTTAGAAAGTTGTATCTTATTAATTAATAGATCAAGACAAACAAATAAACAAACCTTTAACCTCCAGTTGGAAGTTCCTTGTTACTGACATAACTAGTAGGTGGTAAGCCAGGTCTTAAAAATTAACAGTGAGCATGGACGGGCTACTATATTTTCAACTGCAATGAACTCTGAATTCAGACAGCCTGTCCTGGAGCGCAGTAATAAAAATATGTCTTCCTGAAAGACATTATGTATATGCCATTCACTTGTGCACCGCCTCATTTCTTTACCATAATTTACTATCTATGCAGAAAATCAACATTAGTTTCAGGCAGACTCTGCCAGCCTGTGTTATTGCTGGTTTGTATTTTTAAGTAGTATATCTGAAATTGAATCGCGGGTTGTATTTTGCCTGTGGTGATCACCAGCAAAGCCTGTTTGTGAAGAGTGTTAGACTTCTTAAAATTTAAGTACAGTTCTTATGCAAGTTGTTGGAAATGATTTAGCTCAAGATGTCTGGTTTTATTGATGTTGTATCTTTGTTTTGGGGAAAAGGAGGAAATGTTTTTCTGGTTTGTTGCTGTGCCATGCCTGGAAATGGCAGCATTGTTTACATATGTTAAAGGAGAAATTATTGACATTTGCCAAAGCTCAGTATTTCATATGAGTGGGTACTTTGAAAATTGTTGAAGTAAACTAAGGGTTATTAAGCTTCAGCGAAAACTGGGGTAAAACCTGAAAGACTTTCCAAATCAAGTTGAACCTCATGTGAAACTCGTCCCAGGGTACACGCAGCACTCCCATTTATTGCAGGAAGAATTGCATTTATGTATGTTGATCCCAGCAGATACTGGTTTGAAGACCCTAAAGTCAAGGGAAACAGGGTGGTGAGCTCCCATTTGGAGTATAAAACTTTTCAGTCACTGCACTGAATCTTTAAACGCAAAGACAACAGGTATTAAATATGGGCTTAACTTTGCTGTGCTTCAAGTTGAAGACTTTGCTGGGAAACCTGAACAACTGCAGAATCAAATGAACTTGCTGGATCAAAGTGAAGATTAGTTCTGGATTGCAATTCAGAAAGCTTCAATTCCTTTTTTTTTTTTTTTTTTCCCCCTTGTTTTCTGGAATCAGCTAGTAATTTATTGGTTGCTTTGTCATCTGTAGGAAAAGTGACAAAACTAGGGAATAATTTACTTCCAGCTCCTTGGAGGATAAACTTGGGAATATAGTTTTTTAAAATGTCGTTCTGCTTACCAATTGTCCTCTGTAACAGCCAGGAAATATAAGGGTACCTGAAAGCTTCAATTCCTTTTTTTTTTTTTTTTCCCCCTTGTTTTCTGGAATCAGCTAGTAATTTATTGGTTGCTTTGTCATCTGTAGGAAAAGTGACAAAACTAGGGAATAATTT